TATTTTTAACTCTTATTCGTGCATTCACTCAAACTACAGTCTTAGCATTATCTTCACCTTTAACTCCCTACTTCAGGCTCGACTTCGCATGATGGACACCGTAGAGAAGGAAGATGTAAACGAGGCCATGAGGCTGATGGAGATGTCCAAGGATTCATTACAGGCTGACAAATCCAGCACCACAAGGTTGGAGCTAAAAACCAGGCCTGTTTTTTAAATATGGCTTTCAGTGAGCTCAGACTAACATGACCGGATGTCATCTGATTCAGAGCTGTTTTATGAGTTTCTTGCATGTCCTGAAGGAAGCTGTAAAACTTGCTTGATTTTTATGGAGCTCTGTTCACACGACAGCATGTTCAAAACGTGCAGGGAATGTAGTTTGTGCATTTGTACATGTAGTATGTTTACATGCCTTACTTTGTGCCATTTTTGAGTAGGTTTATTCAAAATTCCTTGAGGCTTTAAAGGTAACTTTTTCTTTTTTTTTTAAATGTCTGCTTTCTCATCTGCAGGACGCAGCGACCGGCCGACGTCATCTTCTCTCTGGTGCGCGAGCTCGCCGCAGAGGGCCGTGGAGCCGGTGGGTTGGTTCGCATGGCTGAAGCAGAGCAACGTTGCATCTCTCGTGGCTTCACGCCCGCCCAGTTCCAGGAGGCCTTGGAGGAGTACGAAGAGCTGAACGTGTGGCAGGTCAACCAGGCCCGCACGCGCATCACTTTCGTCTGAACAACTCGGGACACGCCTTCATGCACATTTTGTTTCAGTCACCTGAGGGAGGGTGGGGGACTCTTTGTTGTGGGTTTTCTACAGACTTGTAATGAGGTTAAGCATTTTGTAAGTCCAGCAGATGGAATATTCTTTTTAAATATGACTATTATTGCAAGAATTCCAGCTAATGGAAACCCAGAACTCCAGAATCCTGTTAACAGTACCTTGCTTGTAAATATGTATGTCAGAAGTTAGTATTGTGAAGTATTTCCTGTGGTTTAGCTGCAAGCATCCGTTTAACATTGAGCATTTCTGTACATTTTATACTTGATGATGCAAATCAGACAAATTTATATTGAGCCTTGTATTGTGAGAGTTAAAATAAAATGATGGTTCAATCCTCTGCCTGGTGCCGAGTCTTCTGTGCACATAATGTGGGATGAAGAAATGTGTATGAACACCTGGTTTCACGGTGGGGACGCCTCGCTAATCCTTTTGAGTAACGCCTGCCCACAAAACATACAGGTCTGCAAGTAACAATTTTCACGTTGAAAGACAAAACCTGCACAACTTTGGGTTTGTGAGTCACTGAACCAAAGATTTCAAAAGGCTTGGATATTCAGAAAAGGCAACAAATGTTTAATGCTGCCAAATCTAGCTTTCAAAACCGCAAGCTTCCAGCTGTATAATGAATGATCCTGTAACCCACTAACACATTGTATACACTGTCTCAGTAGAGTAACTAGTAATCATGTGTCACCTAGATGTTTTGGTCTACTGATGACATGTATCTAAATAATTGCATCTAATACAGCAAGAAGCTAAAACAATGTAAATTTGGAAATTAACATTTTCATCATGGACATTATTCACAATCTATCACATTTAACATCGTTATGATTGGGGAATGTGGGAGAATAACATTAAACTGACCAGTGTGTGTTATTGCATGTTTAGCATGACGGCCTTCAGTAAGAATGCAGTCTGAATATTGAACATGCCGAGACAAAAAAGGCGGCTTTTTCTGTAGATAGCTGTCCTGTGCTCAAAAAGCAGATGTTCACTGGGTAAAAATAACAACCTTTAGAAACCGGTGGTGTTTCAGAAATCTGTGAAGTCTCATTATGAATGTATGTTTAAGGCAACATGGGTTGTCATCTATGTTTTTTGTAAGCTTTTCTGGCATGGATATTGTGTTAGTAGGCAGCATTTTCACTACGGTTGCAGTTGCCCCAGCAGGTGATGCTTCACTTCCAGACTTAATGGGGAGTTTCCATTTGAAGTCTGTTTTGTTTTATGGCTTTGCTGCAAAAGTCCTGAGGCTTTCTGTTCTTAATTGGCGCCAAAGGCCCCACATTAAAGTGTATTAAAAGGAAGGTGGAGACAAGATTTCGGTCTCAAAGTCGGTAGAGTCCGATTGGATAGAAGATAATGTTACAGGGTAACCGACGCAGAGATGTGTATTTAACCCACTCAGCCTTGTTCAGACCAGTGAAGACTGCCTCCCGAGTCAGGTGAGTAAAACGGGCAGATGTGTTTTCTTTACAATATTGGGTCGTGCAATAAGAAGCAAAAATATAATTTGAATTAATAAAGTTATTAATTGCAAGCCACATTTATATTCTACAGTCTATATTAATCTTTGCGTTTAGAGCATCAGATTGCAGAACAGTTTTACCTGAAGACATATTTTTATGTCTTACAATTGAATTTTGGTATTAGACACATACCTTTGTTAAATGTGTGGATGTGAAATGTAATTGATTCAGAGTTATTTTGTACGAACTAACAGTTTTCCTCAAAATGATCATTTCCTTTTCTTCATGATCACAGAGGTTCAAGATGATTTCTTCATCGTGTTTGGCGGGGGCACTCTTCTGTCTTGTGTTTCTCCCAGGTCTGCTCTGCTTCTTTTACTTCACAATGTCACAGGTTCACCTCTCAAAAACAATCAAAATCAACATCCACAAATGATTTTTCATCCTCTTTCAGGCCTGCTGGAGGCCAAATCTTTGTTGAATGCCATAAAGCAGGAACGTAAGTTAAAAAAGAACAATCTTCTGAGCCTTTATGCAGAGGTGCTGTTTTTCCAACTGTTTTTGAGAGACTCAGCTTCATCTCCTCTTTTTACAGAGATGGTCCCTGTAGGCGATGTTAGCATTGATGCAGAGAAAGCAAATGATTTTCTGACTCACTCCAGACCAAAGCGTAATGCGGACCCTCGGTGGTACAGAGGAAACCCAGACTTCCAGGCTTACTACAAATACTACAGCAGCATCGGACACACTGAGGGGGTAAGAAACACTTTGGGCTTCCTGGGGCAGCCCAAATATTCACCGTCTATATAAGCACCTCAGAATGTGTCACTGTAGGTGCTCTTTATTTTAAACATTCTTTGTAGTAACAGAAAACTGTGACAAGTCACCTTTGCAGACCAGCAAATGTAAGATTTTAGCTAATAAGGATGTTAAATTTTGAATTCAGTCCAGGTTCTGGTTGTTTAAAGTCAGCACCAACATGTTATATCTGGATGTGGAAGATTTTAAATCTAAACCTTCATAGTTTAAAAAAAAGCAGGAAGAAAAAAGATTTTTCATTTTGATCTCAGAGGGTCGGGATTTTGGGAGACACATCCCCTCTCGGCTTAGTCGAGAAGTGCGATTACAACTGAGCTTTTTAATTTAAAAACACATAATCATGAAGGATTTCAGATTTTAAATGTTTCTCAGGGTTTCTTTCTTAACCAACTGAAGATTATAAATCTACTTGAGGCAGCTTTTTTTTTGCAGTTTCATGCTACATAAATAAACCTGAGTTTGTCTTTCCTTTACTCTTTTTACACCTCTCAGCTCTATGAGATCGACAAGCTGCGAATGCTCTACCAGCAGATGAGGTACCTGGAGCACACCTACGGCCCTGATGCTTCCTATTTCCAGAGCAAACTGGGAGTGCCTATGATCATGTGTGATCCAGCCACAGACAAGAAGTGCAAAGTTGTTGCTCCTCCTCCTCCTCCTCCTCCACCGCCAATGAAAGGGGTCCCAAGACCCACAGAGCCCCCTGCTCTTCCTATTGCCCCAGCCATTTCACAGGCCGATGTGCTCTACCTGTGTAACAAAAAGGACCCCCTCTGCAAGCCTCACATTGTCTACATGCCCACAGGTGCAGTACCTGTGCTCTGTGACCCTCGGTACCACCCCCACTGCACTCCCCAGAAGGTTGCACCAGCTCCTGTGGCAGTGCCTCAACCACCTCCTCCTCCTCCTAAGAAATCTGGCCCACCTCCACCTCCCCCAGTCTTTGTCAAGAAGTCTCCCCCAGCTCACATCCGCACCTTTAAGGGCATGGAGTACGATTGTGACCCCTACTGGGATCCCGACTGCCTGATTGACAACCCACCCAGGCCCATCAAAGGAAAGGCTGTGGTCCCACCACCCCCACCCCCTCCGGTCGAGGAGGAAGAAGAGGAGGAACACGTGGAGGAGCCAGCACCTCCTGCACCCATTAAGAAAGTAACCTACTACCCTCACCCTTACTACTACCAGCACCCTCTACCCTACGACCCCAGGGATGATCTGTACGATCCAGCCCGCTTCCAGTACCCACGGCCTGATGCTGCTGACGAGCCTGCAGAGGAGAGCCAGTAAAACATCCAGAGGGAACAAAACAGACTATGAAAACATCCAAGTTGCACACTTTCACATCTTTTAAATGTAATGTCAATAAAACCAATGTCTTAGCGCATTTTTAGATGCAGTGTAATTACATCGATGACTCAATGTGTAACTGCCAGTATGTGAAAAATCAATTTTCTTTATGACAAGAATAAATTGTAACAAATCAGTTTTTCACCAGCGAGTAGCATTTTGAGTTGGAATATCCTTTTTGAAAGGTGCAAAGTAGCCTCAAAAGGAAAGCTTTGCTCCACCCATCGCCACATGGCAGGTAAAAATCACTTGTGAAGTACCAGCATGCATGCTGGGAGGCCATTATGTCTGTTCTGCTGTACATTTAATAGCCAAATAAATGCTGACTCCTGTTATTTTCCATACACTCTGGAGCAATAAGTCACCCTGCAGTCTTTTTCCTGCCTCTCTGTCCAAAACCTATAAGGGCAATCAAACAGCAGGAACACAACTTCAGAAGGTGATCTGCAAACGTGCTGCTACTGCCAATAAACCTCCAGCTAGGCGAGCTCCACGTAGCAGACTTGTGCTCATTTAAAAGTGCAGCTCTGACTTTTTTTAAGTGCTTCGTTGACAGAAGATTTAAAGTCTCATGGGGAAAAAACGAAAAATCAGCAGATCATTTATTACATACAGGAACATGAAACAATAAAATAAACTGGGTAAAATAACAGAACGTTCATGTACAGTGGACTCATTGCTGTGCAGACCCACCAAACAGATGAGTGACTTTGTACATAGCTTTTAATGATCGGTGCTTTTAGATACACTTGTGGTTGGAAATTTTTTAACTGCTCTGAAAAGCTACGGTTGGCTTAAGAACTGCTTTTTAGCTAATCAAAGTAGAAACAGACAAAAAAACCAAAGAAAAAGACAGAACAGAGAATAATAAACTGCGGTGCTCGTTTTGTTTCTCTGCTTTGCTCAAAAGAAGAGTCCTCTCATCCTCCGGCCGATGCCCTGTCTGTCGTACAGGACGTTGAACTTGTTGATGAACTGATTCATACTGTTGCAAGTCTTGGTGATAGTGCCTAAGTAGGCCATGAGGCCGACGTCATTACATTGCTGCAGGGTAAACAGAAGAACGGCGTCAGGGAGTTCTCACTTTTACAGCACAATGAACAGTAACATCATCACAACAAGAGATATTTAATCATAAATTAATTTTTCCTTGTGACTGAGACTTCTTATCTTATCTTTTATTGCTGCACTTTGATAAAATGAGATGTGAGCTTTGATTTTAGGGATGTGTTTGTCTTCAGTTTTTGGACCCAGTACTTTGGTACACTGTGAAAGATTTATGTAATGTGGGTAAAAGTAAACAAATAGAGAGTGGAGTACACTGTGTAAAAGTGACTAAATAATCACCAGCTGGTACTGGCAAAAAATACATTCCACTGCTCCGTTAATTACACTGGCAGATTATTCAAAAAACAATGGAAAAATAACTAAAATGACGCGTCTTGCATAGAACTTATCAAACTGAAGATTGGTGACTTTTTGCAATACAGTTGCACGACTTAGAAAATAAATGATAAATGAAAAGCAGCTCCTATCTCATCAAAAATGATCCATATGGTTTATGTGGCCGGTGCAGCAATGGGGTCAGTTTATAAACTGATGCATTTGTCTTCACATCTTTACCAACTACAGCAAATGCTTGAAAAGTACTTTGAGCATTTTATGTGTCTCGATACGTAACGGAAATTTATTTGGCTCTAAACTCTGTCCACTGAAACACTGTAGTTCCATCTTTATAATTACATGTAAACACATCACATTTGAACACACTGATCCCTGAATCGCGTGTTTCCCTGCCTGTTAACTGTTACAATGCTGCTAAATATTAGCTATATTTAAAAACTGTTACCAAAGAGAGGCAAGTTAGATTATTCCTTTTCTCATTTTTCCTGGGATTTTGACCTGCCTTGGTCCAATTTCTGTGTGTGTGTGAAGGAGCAACAAAGATTACTTACATCATAGAAGTCAGTTTTGAATTTTATGGTGCTGAGGACTGGCAGTCTGTGGCACAGGGCGTTTGCTTCTCGAAGGATCTCATGATTAAATGGCACCTCGCCTGTGAGAAACAAATAAACAGCATGCTGAAAAATGTTGAGTTCGTCAAGAAACTGTCAAACAGAAGCTTGTAATTACAGAGGGGCATGTTTGAGGGGCCTCCTTTAAAAAAATGAAGGAGAGGAAACATCTCATTTAAAAACATCTGCTTTTCAGATTTATTTTCACATTCTTCGCTCTCACTCCGTCATTAAACGACCCTCTCATCCTCTCACCTGCTTCCACGGCTTTGACGTACTCTAGAATGATCTTCACTCGGCTGTGGAGCATCTTTATCGCACTGTGCTGGGCTATAAGGTGTTCAGCAACTAACACAGAAGAAAGACACCAAACAACACAGTTAAACCCCGATTCATTTTGATGGTGACCAATAAGATGCAGGTCACAGGACAGCTGACTGATGGAGGAGACACCATGTGACACCATGCCCTAACTGACAGCTTGTTACACCTCATTTAAATCATTTATTTCTGGGTTTACATGGTTGTACAATGTAAAAATGTCCCCCCCAGCGTGAGGCAGTAAGTTCGGAGAGCTACTGTAAAACCCTGAGGGAGAAAATTCAGCTGAAAGCATCTAACCCGTGGATCCTGCCACCATGCATGTGGCAGCGCAGGGGCTAGATTCACCTCTTTTTTGATTTTGCCCCCTTCCTAATAACAAAAATTCAAATGCAACAACATGACTTTAACACTTGAGAAGCTCTAGTATGCATCACAGGGGCATGAGTGCAGAGAGACAAAACTAGAGAATGGCCAAACTGAAATTGTAGAAGGTGTTTTTGTTGTTGTTATTGTATTTTTTTTAATCATACCTCGTATCACAAATCATTTGTATATTGCATTTTTTAAAGGAAACACATTTTCATAAAAAGTAGTCAAGTCTGCCTTTAATCTTTGACAACAGCGCCTCTAACCGTTTCTAAGCCTAGAAACTCAACAAAGCTACGAAAGCCATTTCTTTTGGATTTGAAGCTGGAGAAAAGCTCTGATTTACCATCTTTTGTGGCTTATTGTAAATAAAGAATGCTTATTTAGCAACAATTCATGACTATGATCAGTGTGTAGCTAGTAGGACATGTACAAGTAATTCTTGAGGCAACAGCTTGTCTTGCCTGTTGAGTTTTCTCCAGTGCCGGTGGCCGTCATACGAGCTACGTGGTCAACGCCAATTCTCTCCGCTTCCTCTGTGGCCAGAGTGTACGTCAGCTCAGCAAATAACATGGTGGCCTGAAAACAAACAAACAAACAAAATAATACATATCAGATGGAACTGAAACATCTGTGGCAATCAAGATTAGACTAGATAAAAGTGGAAGTAAACTATACCTCGCCACTGATGATGTCAATGACAGATTCATAAACGCTAACAGGAAGCTGTGGGACAAAAGAACACTCTGTTTAGAGCAGAGGCGTTTGTGTTTGTACCAGCGACATCGTTGCTGAAACAATGCAAATGAACTCACGTCCGTGTGTTTGGTCATTGGGTTGAGCTTCAGGAAAAGAGGGCTCTCAATGATCTCGCACACCTGCCAGGAAGTAGAGAAAATGAGGGTAAAAGCAAACGATCTGAAATATCCAGCATTTACTTGTGTGTAGACTCTATAGCAGTATAAAGGCATGTTTTTAAGTACAACACAAGTGGAGCAGGTGTGTATGGGATTGTAAGATATTTAAAAGCTTAATCATCAATCAATCAATCAATTAAAAGTGATACGTTTTGCTTCTGAAACATTCATGGCCACAGTACACGTGTCGACATCGACATCCTGCCACCTGTCAGTGGGCTTCAGTCTGCCTACCTGCTTGTGAATGTGGATATCTGACTGGTCTGGAGGACCACCTGTGGTGTACCAGCCCAGAAACTCCATGTCTTTGAAGACCTGTTTGACTGAGAGACCAGAGGACAAGTGTAAGAACAAAATGATCTGATGACTTACTGATAAATATCTGAGAGGGGCTTGGAGAACATAGTCATCAATGAACTCTCTCATAGTGACATGAAAAAAGCCGAGCATAAGCAAAGCAAAAAATAAATAAATCTCTTCAGTTTTCAAGGTTACAGCAGTTAACTAAACAATATAGTGACCTTACAAAACAAACTACAGGTTTAAGTCTTTGTCATTTTAATAAAATGTGTTAAAAAATACAAATAAAATAAAAACCCTGCTTGACGAGGCTTTGTTGCAAATACAGAGGCTTGGGATGTCTCCACGACTGTGAGTCAACTGCCTTCATAAAGAGTTGTGTTTTTGTTATAATAACTGTTCTGATTTTCTGGAAATTAACAGGAACTGACTTGAAAACAAAATTATAAAATCCAAAACAAGAGGCAGAGACAGAGAGTTTTGGTAGTTTTTATGTCATTTGGACCAAAACACTTGTGTGTAAATCATTTACTTATGGCTCAACAACAGGATCCAATGCTGCCATCTTTTGGTCGAGTGTTAGGAATCTCCCTTCACATGTTTTACCCCTTGCACATCCAAACATATTAACAATGTATCTGTACTCTTTGGAAACTGAAACTCCAAAACTACAGAGTCCCATTCTGCCGTTCAAGACTTATCAATTGTTGTACTGTTTATTGTTCTTTGTGTGGGAAAGTCAGAACACAGATAGGAAATGTCTCAATTTAATAAAGGAGGCAAGGACAGAGAGTCTAAGGCTAGAAAAACAAATCACGACAAACTGATGTGTGAACTGATTTTCCTGAATGATGATTACGCCAGTGTTACTAATTTTAGCACAACTCCAGCTACCGAACAACTGAGTCATCAAAGAAGATGCACACACAAATATGTGCATTATTGTCCTCAACACTTGAACAAAGCTTACACTGTTCCTCCTTGGTGTAGTAGTACTCCTTGTCAATGTGCACTTTGTCGTCTATGGTGTGAGACAGCAGCTCAAAGGAGTTCATCACCTCGATGTTTCGACCCTCCTGTTTCCCAATCAGAGCTCCAATCACTGAGCAGAGACAAACACAACAGCATATGTTTATCTTTAACGTAGACCTTTATTCCATAAGCCCAATATATATGTGATAGGATAATGTGTTGTTTTTTCACACATACCCTGCATCGGTCGGCCCTCCTGCGAGCGGATGCGTATCCAGTGATCGGATATGTTTAGGATAACCAGAGGGTGTAAGGCCACAGAAACACTCCCAGTGACCCCTGAGGCCATAACACTGGAGCTGGCTACAATCACACAAAGACACAAACATGATTGGGATTAACAGTATGTCAATGACAATATATAAAAAAGTCAAAAAACTTGTTAACTGGAAGCACAAATTCAAACAATTACAAAAGCCAGACAAAGGTTTTCCATCTCAAATCAACCATCTCAGAATTTTATCGTCACAAACTGTAAAATTTTACCTTCGTATGATATCAATGAAAATGTGTCGATGGACCATTTTTGAAAAGAATACATCTTGAAAAATATTTGATATATGAAGCTACAAATTCACAGCAACCAATATATATGTATCCAATCTGTGGACCATAGCCTTTTTAGGCAAATCTGAGATAGTTGTGCAAAAGGGCAACAGTGATTTGAGATTAAATGACCCAGGTACAAACGGAAATACTTCTTCAAATCCAAATAATTACTGGAAAATTAGGAAAAAAGCAACAGTGATCAACCAAAAGTGATTATTATGGTCCAATCACATTAACTGGAAAGTTAATCAGCAATGGATCAGCCCTGTTTCGGTATACGTCTAATCAAACTGCATGTATATATGGAACACAAGAAAATAAGCAGAGACACATCAATAGCAGTAAATTAGTATGAACCCAAAACAATCAATAACGTATGACCAATGAGAGACAAAATAATAAGAGAGATTATTTACACTCAGATTGTAGCTGATGAAAATAATCTTTGTCACTTAGCTCCAGAGCCAAGCAACAGGACATACACCGTTTTCTTTCCATTCAAAATAAGTGACTGGATATATCCTTTTGGCATTAATCATCTGTTTAGTTTGGCACAAAAGATCATTCTCAGGATCGTTCCTAAAAAGTTAAATAGCATATACAATCATAAAACGAGTTCCACAGTTTCCCAACAGGACACCTGGACAGGTAGATCAGTCAGCGATGTGCCCAATGACAGTTTATAAAATTAATAAAACGCGACTCTGAGCGGTCGCCCTATGCTCGCTACATACAGTCATTTTAATGTATATGTAACTATTCACACAGATATAGGCCTGCATGTCGGTTTCTCTCATGTATAGCTAATGTTGACGTGTTTGGTGTTGCAGCACTGCCACAGCATTTTAATCAAACTGCACATGATGTTAGATTTTACTTCAAATTTCTGATGCAAACTCCTGTGGCAAAGCAGAGGGAACTGCGTGAAATATCCACAGTGATGAATGTACTGACAGCTTCACAGAGCTGAGTACGTTAACCTGCTATGTCAGCGAGCAAGCTCCTTACGACCCTTTAACACCACGGAGTCGTCACTTCCGCTCACTTATAACACACAAAACAACATATACGGCAACCTGCGCGCAGGTTTTGGTTGATGTGGACAGAAACGATGAGATGAGGGATAAATACTCGCCTGCCCCATCCACTTCCATTCCTCCACCATTGCTGGTCGCCATCTTGTCCGGTAATCCGCGCAGGCGCAGTTGACTGTTGATGCAAAGGACGTTAAGTGGCTCTTCGTGGAGCTCTTTTTTAAAACAAACCGTGCCGCATATTCACGGTCATAAACCAGATGGGAGTTTATAGAAACAGAGGCTGTTTGGGTCGGGGGATGTTGTGTTGAGCTTAAAGCCGCTGATTTGATTTAACTGCCCAGCGGCCGCTCGGTCACACAGTCAGTGGACCGCTGTTTCCGGGGGATTGCTGATTCGGGCGCAACCCGTGTGCGTTCGTGTACCATTCCGTGTGTGAGGTTTGAGAGTTTTGTTTACAAAATGGAAGAATTTAGGGGCTGCAATCTGGACTACTTTCCCGAAAACATTTTAATCGATGTGTTGTCCTACCTGAACGTACGAGAGGTCGTCAAAGCCGGGAGGTAAGGGGATTTCAACTTTGCTCTCAATGATTTACTAGTTAATCGTCGTTTAAAACAAAACTCAGGTTTTCGTTTGTTTTGTCTTTTGTTATGTGATTTGTGTATATGTTTATATATTTTAAATTGTGGTTTTAGGGTATGTAAGAGGTGGAAACGCCTTGTTAAAGACCAAAGACTGTGGAGAAATGTCGACCTGACTTCATGGAAAGGGGTAAGGATGTTGTTGCCAGTGTGGCTTATCATTTTTCGTTTCTTCTGTTAATGCAGGCCAGGCATTCTAGTAATCTGGTCTGTTACTTGGGGATAATAATAGAAACAAACCCATAGCGATAACTTCTTCTTTTTTTTTTGATAAAGATGAACGACTGGGAGCTGTTGACTCATGTTTGAATTTATCCTCTCACATTAAAGCACTGGTTTTAACTGTATCATCAAATAAAAATACAACACCGGGATTTCCTGTCTCAAAACGGGCCCACTTATACAGTTGTGCTGAGAAATTTATAGATGCATCATGGGCATGAATGCCACAGGAATTTGGGTCTGTGTAGGTTCTCAGTCATCCAGGTCATGGTAATCCAAGGCGCTTGGAAAGAAAAGCGACTGGACTGCTTTAAGTTTCTTGAAGACATTTCACCTCTCATCCGAGAAGCTTCAGTTCTAAGACCAAACTACCCTCTTAAGGGACAACTCCCACTAGAGCTGAAATACCTGGGGCTTTCCACCATTTGGTCTTAGAACTGAAGAAGCTTCTGGGGTGAGAGGTGAAATGTCTTCAAGAAACTTAAAGCAGTCCAGCCATTTTTCTTTCTAAGCTCTTTACATAGGAATTTGGGGCTTTTCATAATTTATTTGAACTGTTCTTTGTCCAGGGTGGAATAGAATAGTACAGAACACCGCTTTAATGGCTTTAAAGAGGAAAAAGTAGATGCACAAGTTTGAATCAAATCCACACATACAACCCCAACTAATATTTGGTTAATATAAATATTGGTTGCACTTCAGTTAAACACTTTCGGTAGCCATCAACAAGCTTTTGGTGCAGCAGTAGCTGGGTATTTAACCACTCTTCTTTGCAGAAGTGGTTGAGTTTAGTTAAATTGGTTGGTTTCCTGGCATGGAGCCAGCTTTTAAACATAGTCTACAAGTTTTCAGTACAATTGACGTTGGAGCTTTGGGAAAGCCATTCCAGGAGCTTAGCCTGTTTTATCCACCCCAAAGCCAGTTTTGACATATCTTTGTTTCAACAACCTAGTTGCTGATTTGACTCTTAGGCCATCTATTGGCAGTTTCTGAGCTGTTACTAGTCATTCTTAACAGCCATCCACTAATATTTTCTCTTGGCTGGTATGTGTTTTTCTATTGTATGTGTATTTTAGTTTCTTTGATAGTGAATAAAATTGTGTATTGCTTTTTAAAGCCCCTTGTAAAGCATTTTGAAATGCTTTTGTGTGTAAAATATGCTCTAAAAATAAACAATGAGCATCATTTAATAACACATGGGTTGTGTGTTTGTGCAGTTATTGACTGTTATTGTTTCTCTCTCTCAACACACACATATTCATGGACTGTCCACTGTGTGTTAGGTGACATCCCGCATCCTTTGGGTCCTGCTGCGTCAGTACCTGGGTTGCGGACTAAGGTGCCTTCGCTTGCGTGGTTTGCTGCTGTCCGCACGTGGCGGAACCTTTCTCTCTGAGTCTTGGCTTAAAGCTTTGTCCACAAAATGCCCTCGACTGAGTAAGCTCTATCTTCTGCATGCAGACCTGAGAAGCCTGCCCAGTTGCCAGATCCTACCTCCATCTTTGCAGGTGCTGGAGCTGCGGGGTTGTGAGCTGCCTCGTGGCTTCTTCAATCAGACCCTGCCATCAGCTAGTCCCCAAGAAAGAGCAGAACCCACATCCAGTGTTGGTGCTCAACTGAAAGGAAGGAACCAGAAAGGAAAAGGGGCTGGCTCTCCTTCAGGGATTGGTATTGAGAGGTTAGTCCTTAACAATGTGCCCTCTTTTACAGACCAGCACCTGCAGGGTCTGACATCATGGGAGAGGCTCTGTCATCTAGAGCTACGTGACACCTTTCGTGTAACAGCTAATGGGCTTAGAAGCTGTGCTGCCAAAGATGGTGTCTGTGGTGTAGAAGGGCTTTCCAGGCTCAAGTTTCTGGAAATAGGCATTACAGGGCGGCAGGGCTACCAGTTACATATGGCCTCCCTTGGCTTGGGGGCTGGCTGGCTTGGGCTGGAGGAGCTAAGTCTTGGTGGAAAAGAGGTGGGTCCAGGTTTGCTCTGCGCCAGCCGCTTGAAAGACCTGAAACGTCTGCGCCTGTGGGACTGCACACTCAGCGAGCTGCAGATAGCCCGGAGCTGCAGGATGCTCCGTGGACTTCGCCAGCTGGAGTTTGTGGACGTCAGGTTCCAGCCTCGTCAGAATCCACCAGCTGAAGAGGGGGAGGGCGGTGAGGAAGAAGAGCAGGACAGAGAAGAAGCTGCAGGTGCAGATGGCAGCAGCGACGAGAACAAGATGGCAGATATGAACGATCCTATTCCAGGTCTGCGTCGCACACTGGCTGTCCTGCTGCCATCCTGCACACTGGTGTTTACCAACTGCTCTGTTCAGAATAATGAAGATTGAGTGAAGCTATATGCTGCTATATACAAGCAACCCACATGGGATTAAAAATAAATAAATAAAACAACAACAACAACCTGTTACATAGGCTTTAAGATCATGTTGATATAAGTAGAACCCGATTCAGAATGCTTTGTCAACTTTTTCTGACAATGCCACAATAAGTCCATAAATAAATAAAAAATCATTTTAAAAGTCTGCTCACAATGATCCATGTTTATAGTATTTTTAGGCTTTTAGAATGAAGTAACAAAAACTGAATAGCTGTACACAGTAATGTATTCAAATGTATTAAGGGTTTATTGAGCGATTAAATAAAAAATAAAAAAATAGTATGTATAAAAATAAATGACTTCCTCAACAGAATGACCTTTGAGTGCTTTAGAGGAGGATTGCAGTTTTCAGCAGTGCAAGAACAACAATAAATGTTTTGGCCCTTTATTTAGCTTTTTACAGTATTATGTTCAAAATGTTACTTGTCTTGATTAAAGCTGACTTAGAGGTAAGAGATATATTGTGATATGGTGTTTTCTGAAAAATCTGATTTGTAACAGTTGCATAAAACTTCCAAACTGAATTGTCTGTCGTTGACAAATCAGATTACTTCATCACATTGATGCAAACATCATGAAAAACATCTTTCTCGTCAGTTTGCAAGGTTGCCTCATAAGCTGAGGTTACTCCATTATGAAAGTTAAGCAAAAACATCTGTCGTCGAAGACACAAATTATATTGTCTTAAGGGATATGTCATGATCTCCTACAATACTCAGTTTCTTTGAGGTAAGTCAGTGGGAAGTCTCTCCTTTTTAGTGCTTAGAAACTTTAACGATATGAAATAAAATGCAGAACAGTTGCTGTTAGACTGTAAACAGATAAACAGGTGTCAGCTACAAAGACAAATAAGTCATGATCCACCTGTTTCCTGTTCTTTACCACTTCTCAACAACGTATACTGTCAAAAAAATATATTTTACTCTGGTTGGTTGGGTGATGCATATGTGTTTTGTAGAAACTGAGAACAAAAAGCAACCGCTTATCCTGAATGTGTGTATATTGTCTCAATTTTAGGAAAAAACATGAAAGATTTGTGTCATCATACCGAAGTGTGTTGCATTTAAAGCAACCATTCAATGAAGGTTCATCTTGTGAAGAACAAATTGTTCTGAATAAAGCTATTTTGATGAAGTAAACCCAGAATTTGTGCTTGAATACAAATACGGTATGTCGACTGCACCTTTAAAGATGACTGATCAGTTTGTCATGAAACTGCATGTATCATTTTTCAAGGTCTAATACTACATTTTATCTTCTTTTACGTAGGTGATTTCTTGTCAGCTTATGCTTCAGAAAATTGTCACGGGTCATTTCTCTTGTTTTGAGTGTTGGAGTGGCCAGTAACGGTTTTTGAAAAGTGGAAAGACAAGAATTTAAATTAGTAAGTATTAATCCTACACAAGTAGCTTAATGGTACACAAACCGTATAATCAAAATTAAAAGCATATTAATTAAAAGTAATTATGGGATTAAAAGTTTGGATTCATGAATTTATATATGATATGCAGTATATTTTGCAGCTGGAAATCATTTTAATTTTTTATATGCTACATAACAAAGAATTTAACACCTACATGCTGTTGAGTTCAAATTTGTCCAGTGTGAACATTTCACATTGAAAGTGACCGAATATACACATAGATTAAAATGGTTAACAATGTTATACTCTTGAAAGGGTGCTATGAATTGTTGTACATTACGTACATCACGTAACGTGGACGTTACTCCTACTTTTTAAAAATAATGTACAGCATGTGGGCGGGACCACAGCCACCGCTCACCAATGACACGCTGCCCATTGCAGCGCTTTTGTCCAATGACTGTTCTCTAAGTGTGCGAAGCTCACCAATCACGTTCGTGAAGATTAGCTTTTTGAAAACGCTGGCGGCCGAGGAAGTTCTAGGTTACAAGATTGGGGTTTTTTTACGCTGTAAAGTTAATACTGTTTTTCCTTCACTACGATGCAGGTAATTCGATATTTATACATTTATATCGAAGCGTTACCGAGTAACAGTTGATAACAAT